ATTTATTTCAGAATCCCCTTCCCCTCCCCCATTTCTGAAGAAGGGTCTAGGCCCGAAACATCAGCCTTCCTGCTCCTCTGATGCTGCTTGGCCTGCTGTGTTCATCCAGCTCTACGCTTTGTTATCCCAGATTCTCCAGCATCTGCAGTTCCTACTATCTCTCCACATTGTGTTATCTCTGACTCCAGCATCGGCAGTTCTTACTATCTCTATTCTGTCAGTTAGTTTGTTTCAGAATCTTGCTGGTGTTCTTTGGATAACCATTAATGCATGACACCGTGCCTCAGTGGTTAGCACTGCTGCCTCAGCGCCAGGGACCTGGATTCAATTCCACCCTCCGGCAACTGTCTGTCTGGAGTTTGCATATTCTCTCTGTTGTCTGCGTGGGTTTCCTCTGGGTGCTCCGGTTTCCTCCCACAGCCCAAAGGTGTGCAGGTTAGGTGGATTGGTCATGCTAACTTGCCTGTATTGTCCAGGGACGTGCAGGTTATTAGGTGGGTTGGCCATGCTAAATTGTCCCATAGTGGCAAGGGATGTGTAAGTTAGGTGGACTGGCCATGCAAAACCCTGCATGAGTACAAGCTTCTTCAATACTCAAGAAGCTTGACACCATCCAGGACTAAGCAACCTTCTTGATTGGCACTCTCTCAACCCCCTTCAAATTTCACTCCCTTCACCACTGACATGTAGATGATTATGCACTGTTGTCACTATAAGATGCAGTGCAGCAACTCAGCGAGCCTCCTTCGACAGCACCTCCCAAATTCATGATCTCCACCTAGGACAAGGTCAGCAGATTCGCAGAAACAGCACCATCTGCAAGTTTCTTTCATGCCATCCTGACTTGAATCTATATTGCTATTCCTTCACTGTTGCTGGGTCAGAATTCTGGAACACCCTTCCTAATAGCACTCCGACTGTACCTACACCGCAAGGACTGCAGCAGTTCAAAAAGGCAACTCACCACCACCTTCTCAAGGGCATTCAGGGATTGGCATTAAATTCTGTGCAGCGCCTGCATCCCGTAAATTAATGAAAAAGCACAGTGCTAATCTTTTCTTCCATTCCTCTGATCTCAATTACCATGCTTAAATGTTGAGATTCATTAACCAAGCCCCTTAAACTATCAGTTAAACAGAATTGAAAATAAGTCTTCAGACATGACTGGTACATGTATTAAATCTTTAAACAATTGGAATCCTGGAGTTCCCTCCCAAACAGCATTATGGGCCTACCTACAGCACATGGACTACAGCGGTTTAAGAAGGCAGCTGACCTTCTCAAGTAAATAGGGATGGGCAATAAATGCTGGCCCAGCCAACGAACTCCACGTCCCATGAGTGAGTAAAGAAAATAATAAAGTGTGGAAGTTTAGTTCAATTTCATTCTGCTTCAAAACAAGAACTTTTCAACTATAGAGTCAAACAGCTCCAGTTAACCGGTGTAGCGAATATCTTAACTAGTAACTAACTGTATAACAGAAACACCAAAAAAAATTTACTGGGTCAAAAATTAAAATTACTGTAGTAAATGATTCAAAACATTGAAATTGTTTTTATTGTTTGTGTGACTCTTGCTGGTAGAGAGTGATGGATCACAGCTAGTAAATGATGTGGGTATTTAATACGCTGCCTCCACATCAGGCTTCTGACAAAGCCTGGTTCAGACTCTTCACGTTACCAAAGCAATGGATTAACCTCATGGGAAATGCTGTGTTTGCGGTTCATTTTGATTTTAACTCCAATTCAAGAGGCTTCTGCAGAGTTTAGTTGTAGTTGAGACATGTAGAGGCTACAGTAATCAGGTTACGTTCAACCTTGTAATGCTGGGCCTGAAATCAACCAAGGTTCTTGCTCTTTATAAAGGTAAAATCCTATATATACTGGAAATCTAAAATAAGCACAGAGAACACTGGAGAAACTCAGCAGGTCTGGCAGTATCTGTGGAGAGAGAAACAGAGTTAACGTTTTGAGTCTGGTATGACTCTTCTTTAAAAGAGAAATTTCTGAAGGAAAGTTGCAACAAACTTCAAACATTTAACTCTCTTTCTTTCTCCACACGCCCTACCAGACTTGCTGAGTTACTCCAGTGTTTTCTGTATTTGTTCCTGCTTTTTACTCTGTTACTGTGCAGTGAATGTCCATTAATGTCCAGTGAAGGCTCAGCTCAGTCGTTGACAAAAGTCAAACAGCTGACAAGAAATGGTCCCTTGACTGAGATACAGAATGGATTGTGGTGTTTAAGGAATTGTCATCATAAAGCTTTGGTGGTCACTTCAAAATGTTCCAAAGAATTCTACAGCAACAGAATCATATTTAAAGTATAGCCAACTTACCTACGGCAAGCTGTCACAAACTGTAGTATGATGTTGGTTGAGAAATAGATATTGATTTCAGGACATTGAGGTCAAACTCCCCTGATCATCTTAAAATAATTCCAGGGGATCTTTTATGTCTATCAATGAAAGGGGATGGGGCTTGTTTTAATGGCTTGTTAAAAAATGTCTGATCTCTGACAGTGCAGCACTCCCTCAGTTTCTCACCTGGATTTTGATCTCAAGTTTCTAAAGTGAGATGTGAACCTATAACCACATGATTCAGAGGCAAAAGTACTAATCACTGAACCTTAAATATCACAATTTCAGCAAAAGCAAAGGAGCACATGGTACAAAAAAGCTCCCACTTCAAAAGCATTTTTCGTTAGTGCTGTGGTGCTATCACTGCTCAGACACCCAAATGTTTCTGTCCTATAATATGTTTAAAACAGTAATTTTCCTTTAGGGTTTTGATGCTGGGTAAAATGTCAAAATGACGAATTCAAACAATTCCAGTGGTGTTTAAAATGGGTGGTAAATTCTGACTGATAGATGTGTCTCTGTATTGGTAACAGGTGCCTTTGCCAAGGTGAAAGATAGCCAGAGGATGAGCGATGAAGGAAAGATGGATCAGGAGCAGGTGGATGGGATAAAGAGACGATGTCGAGTGGTAGGATTTGCTCTACAGGCTGAGATGAACCACTTCCACAAGCGCAGGATCATAGATTTCAAGCGCATGATGCAGTCTTATCTCCAGCAGCAAATCGTCTTCTATCAGAGAATCAGCCAGCAACTGGAGCAGAGTCTACACTTGTATGACTCATTGTAATAAAAGGCCCCCACTCCCTGAGACTCTGGAAGATTATACAGGACAAAGATACTGAGGCTCCTCCATGATCCACTCGACTTGTCTACAATCTCGCTAACTTTTCCCTAAATCCCTTTGAATCCTCTCTAACTTCAGTTGACTTCTGCTCAATCCCCAACTCCTCCCTGATCTCCTGACTTCTCCCCAAACCCCTTGACTCCACCCCAAACCCCTTGACTCCTCCCCAATCCCTGACTCTTCTCCAATAGATTTGACTGTTCCCAGTTCATTCAACTCCTCCAAATTCCCTTAACTCCAGCCAATCCCTTCAACTCCTCCATAGTCCCCTCAATCCTCTGACTTCTCCCCAATCCCCATGACACCTCCATAACTCTTCCCCAATCTCTTGACTCCTCCCTGATCCCTCAACACTTTCACAAATTCCCTCCAGTCCCTTCAACTCCACCCCCAATCTCTTTAACTGTCCCCCAATTCCACAACTCCTCTCTCAACTCTCCAGCATCTTTGCAACTCATCCCCAACCCTCTCCACTCTTTTTCTCAATCCCCTTGACTCATTCCCCAATTTCCTCAACTCCTCCCCCCCCCTCAATTCCTTCCCAATGTCTTTAACTCACCTGAATCCCCAGCTCTCCCTCAATCACCTCGATTCTTCTCCTCATTTCGCTAACTCCTTCCCAAACCCCTCAACTCATTCCCTATCCCCTCAAGTCTCCCAAATCTCAGAATATACCCAATCCCCTCAATTCTACCCCAGATTCCTTGACTGTTCCTCCAATTGTCTCATCTCTTCTTCTAATTCCTTTGACTCCTTCCCCAATCCTTTTGACTCTTTCATAATCCCACTGCCTCTCCCCAAAACCTATCAACTCCTTCCTTGATCCCCTTGCCTCCATCCCCAATCCCCTCCACTCTCCTCATTTCTATTGACTCCGTCCCCAATCCCCGCCGAATCCCCTTGACCTTTCCCTGAGCCCCTTGAGTCTTCCCTTGTCTCCTCGATTCTCCCCCATTCCCCTTGACCAATCCTGATCTCCTTAACTCTCCCTTGATGCCGCTCCTGATTGTCTTGATCCCTCCTATCCTTTCAAGTCCTCCTCCAATCTCCCCCAGTCCTCTCAACCCACCTCAATTCCTTCCCCAATCCTCTCAAATACCCCCAAACTCTCCTCCAATCCCTCTGACTTTCCCCTAGTCCCATTACCTCCTCCCTGATTCCTTCACCATACAGATATAGTCCATTACTCAGATGGAAGTTTAGCACCGGGAGCCAGTTCATTGTGAGCTGGGTTCTGATGTACTACAAGTTCACTTGTCCCTCACCATCATCACTGCAAGTCTGGATAATTCAGAGCTGTTTACATTGTGCTTTACGAACCAGTTCAGAGTGTGTTGTTCACCAGTACCAACTTCTTTGTATGTTTCTGGGGATTCTGTCATTGTTTTGGATTACATTACCAAGACAGGACAAGTGGCAAGATTCTGCTAAATCACATCCACTTCGACCAAGGATACATTTTTCGGAAGACATTCGAGCAGAAACAGCCATGTTGACTGTGGATGTTTCTATCTTTGACACTTCAACAAGATTGATTTGAGAAAAATGAGGGAAACGGCATTATTTCAGAAGCAGTTCCCTTCTTCCAACTCCCAAGGTTTACATTCATTTTCTGGCAGATGATATGGCTTCACATGATAACCACCACCAGAATTTGCTCTCAGTCTCAGACTGTGGCAGTTGTAGAATGTCGCCACAGGATGTTTGAACTGTTGTGATAGTTAATCTTTTTCTATACAGGGACATACAGGACATCTTCAAGTACAAATCTTTAGTATTACAGGTAGGGTGTAAACTGTAGTAGAGTAATTTGTTAAAATTTGCTAAGCTAGATACCATGGACTATTGGGTTGGCAGATTTGTTTTCTATAATGTTGGGTATGTTTTGCTGAGATTAAGGAATTGGACTTTTGAAATGGAAAATGTTAACAGAATGACAGCAACTAAAAGCAAAAAAAAAGTGAGAACATGAGGGAGGATTAGAGGCCACTGCAGGATGTGTGAGAAGAAGTGGCGATGGAGACAGAGGAATGAGAGGCTACGCTAGACAAAGGGACATCTTTACACTCTTCCAAACGGGTGTGCAAGTACCCAGAGAAAGTTGTCTCATTGTGGTTTAGCCTATAGTTACAATGTGCCAATATCCTTGCTCCTGGTGTGCTGGACAGTTCAAGGAGTACACTGCACTTTAGACTGTATTCTGTCAAACTCTTCCACTACAATGTTATTCAGAGCTGTATATCATTTTTTAATTGTACACTGATAATCAGGGCTGGTTATAAAACAGTGCTATATCAGCAATATTTAATATTCTCAATATAAAAATGCATAACGATAACCATACATGATCAATATGAGTAGAATGTTCCAGAGGGACTGAGAACACCATTGGTGTGATTCAGAGGGGTAGGCTATTGTTGTGTACAGATGCATAGAATCCCGACAGTGTGGAAAGAGGCCTTTTGGCCCAACGAGTCCACAACGATCCTCCGAAGAGTATGCCATGCAGACCCATCCCCCTACCCTATCCCTGTAACCCTGTATTTCTCATGGCTAACGCACCTAACCAACGCATCTCTGAACCCTATGGGTAGTTTAGCAGGGCTAATTCACCCAACCTGCACATCTTTGGACCGTGGGAGAAACAGTGGAAACCCACACAGACACAAGGAGAATGTGCAAACTCCACACAGACAGTTGCCCGAGGGTGGAATCAAACCCGGGACCCTGGCGCTGTGAGACAGCAGTGCTAACCACTGAGCTACCGTGCCACCCTGATGCTGGGCATTTTATCCAGTCAGCATGACTCAAAGGGGCAAGCTGCTATTAGTACAGGTACCGGGCACTGTAATAGTCAATGTAACATGGAGTGGCAGACTACTATTAGAACAGGTACTGGGCACTGTAACTAGTCAGTGTGACCCAGAGGGGGAGGCTATTTTTAGAACAGATAATGGGCACTGTAACTAGTCAATGTGACTCAGAGGGGCAGGCTGCTATTAGAACATGTACTGGGCACTGTATTTAGTGAGTGTGATATAACTGGGCAGATTAATGTTAGTACAGATATTTAACGAGTTGGTGTGACTCAGAGGGGCAAGCTGCTGTTTGAACAGGTACTAGGCACTGTATCTAGTTAAGATGTAATGTATCGTCATCAGACAATATCCACACACCCTATTTAAGCAGAAATGGTGACATCAAAGCAGCACACAATTAGCAGCAGCTAAATGTTAAAAAGATGGTGCCAGTGTCATACAACTGTTGCTGATCCCAGTGGGAGTTGGACAGTGATGTAAATACCATTGCATGACATCACTAATCATAAAACCTGGACTTCCTAACTTTACAGTTCATGTTATTTCAATCAGTCCTAGCGTCTCCTTCCTAGTTTTAGAGGACTAGTGGAGCCTTTGGGATTGGATTTGGAATAAATCTTTACCTCCATCAGCTTGTGCTGTAAACCCACTTTGCAGTAGCTGGGATGAACTACATTGTTGCACTACCATTCTCCCAAACTAACCCAGGAGTCTGCTAGTCAAAAGCTGTGTGTGAAAATATAATACCCAGTGAGATTCAGGCAGCAACTTAAGCAGCAACTCCGAGGTGTTCAGACCACTGAGACTTTGCACATTTTGGATCTCAGCGCTTCAGCTAATGCAAGGGAGTGGCGTCAGACAGTGAATGAAACAAATTCAGAAACAGGAACACAGCTTCAGAAGAAGGCCCACTCACCATTACTTGTTGAAACTCAATGGTTCATCCCTCATGATACAACTGAGATAGAAACTCAGAGACTAGGTAACAATGAGTATCTATTTGTGTGTCTACTTGTCTAACAACTGACACAGGTCATGTTACAGTGTCTCCAATGGGTATGAACAGACACAGACTATATTACTGTATAGACTGTATTAATGGGTAGTACTCCACACAGACTTCCACAATGGAAACAACTTCTTTGCATCTACCCTGACAAGCCCACTAAGAATCTTGCGTGCTTTTTAAAAGGTTTCCTCTCATTCTTGTAAGCCTCAATTAATACAAGTCCAACCTATTCAGTCTCTCCTCATAAGAAAATCCCTCCATGTCTAAACCAACTGAGTGAACCTTCTCTAGACTGCATCCAATGCCAGTATATTCTTCCAAAACTGTTCACAGAATTCCAGCTGTGATCTGACTAGTGCATTGTATAATTTAGTAAGACCACCCTCTTTTTTTTATATTCCATTCCCTTTCAAATAAAAACCAGCATTGCATTTGCCTTCTCTGATATCTCCTGAAGTTAGATGCTAGGTTTTTGTGCTTCCAGCACTAGAATTCCCAAATTGGTCAGCGCTGCAGCTTTCCACAGTCTTTCCCGATTTAAATAATATTCAGCTCCTCTGTTTTTCCTGATAAAATTCATTATCTCATAGTCTCACCAAGTTGTCTTCCATCTGTCACATTTTTGCTCATTCACCTTTCTATATCCCTCTGCAGACTCCTTGTGTCATCCTCACTTCTTCCCACCTATTTTTAGGTCATGTGCAAACTTGGTTCTAGTAAATCCCTCAGCCATGTCATTAATATATAGTGTAAATAATTTTGGCCCCATCACTGATCTCTGTCGCACTCCACTAATTACGGGTTGCCATCCTGAAAATGCTCCCTTATCTCAACTCTCAGTCTGCTATTAGTTAACCTGTCCTCTATCCATTCTAACATAATACCTCCAACACCATGGACTCTCATATTTAGTAGTCTTTTATGTGGTACCTTATCAAATATTGTTTGCAACTCCAAATGTATTATATCCACTGGTTCACTTTTAACTATCCTGCTTGTTGCCTCCTCAAAAAGCTGTAATAAATTTGTCAGGCATGATTGCCCCGTCATGAAACCATGAAGCCATGCTGAGTCTGCTTGATTATATTATGGGTTGCTATATGCTCTGTTGTTACATCCTTCATTATAGACTAGAAATCTTTCCTAATGACAGATATTAAGTTAACTGGCCTAAAATTACCTAGTTTTGACTCCCTCCATTTTTGAATAGGGGTGTTACATTGGCAGTTCACTAATCCTGTGGGATTTTTCCAGAACCTAAGGATGTTTACAGCCAGTACCAACAGGCAAAACCCCAATACAGCATCTCCAATTAGTACCAACAGGTACAAACCCCATTACTGTGTCTCCAATTAGTACCAACAAGCACAAACCCCCATTACTGTGTCTCCAATTAGTACCAACAGAAAAAACCCCCATTACTTTCTGTACAATTAGTACCAACATGCACAAACCTCTTTACACTGTCTACAATTAGTTCCAAAAAGCACAAACCCTATTGCTGTGTCTACAATTAGTGACAACAGGCATAAAACTCATTACTGCGTCAAAAGTGAAGAACAACAGGAACAGACTGTATTATGTCTACTGCAGGAAATGACAGACACCATATTACTGACTACAGTGGGACAAACCATATTATTGTGTTTACAATAGGTAACAACAGACACAAACCATATTACTGTGTTTACAATGGATAATGAAGGGAATCGACCCAGATTTCAGCCTATATTAGCAGATGAACATTGAGCACATTTGAACAACATTTATTTGCTATTAGAGTGAAGATGCTACATAACCCCCCCCCGAAGCAGCTATCTCAATATTGAAGCCGTTAAACATCATCTTGACATCAAAAATAGAAAATAAAATGACAAAATAGAAAGTAATTTTGTACTTCTTGTGATGATCTTGTTTGTCTATTCTCTAAACAGCTCTCTAGGTATTGTAGGACATTGGACTTTTGGATAATGTCCTGAAAACACGTTCATGGGTGTAAGTATATTGCTTTTTCTTTCTCTTTTTCTGTCTGGATTGTGATCATAAGTGAGTCACTGCATCTGCTTATCACAACAGGAATCATCTCCATTGAGGCTGGTCCAATTGTCCATTTAGAGAATTTCTGTTTGACATGTCACAATGAATCCATGACCCTGTGGAAATGTTAGAAATACTCCAGACACATAATGACCAGCACGAAACCTATCCTTCGTTGCACTTTCTGTCATCTTTCACTGATCATGAGAAAAATTTATTAGGGGAAGGATTAATAGAAGATAAACAACAACACCAATGTAAGGAATGTAGAAAAATGCTTCCCATGGTGCTACTGTTGTAATCAAAAAAGAACTGGTGTTTGGTAAAAGTATTAAATATTAAACTGGGTCTGTGACTGAAAGCTGGATTAATCTGGTACATTTTCAAGAGATGAAGGGATAGGTGCCAAAAATGGTAAAAAAGGTAGACAAAGCACAAGTTGAGCCAGGGGAAGGTAGGATTTGAGATTTGAACTGCTGGGGAGAAGCCATTCAGGAGGAATGTGTGAGCAGGACTTGGTGCATGATAGGATTTGGGCAACAGAGTTTTGGTTGAGCTGGAATTGACAAATAGAGTGTAAGGCAGGAAACTCTTGGTAGGGGTCCTTTGGGGTAATAAAATATGAAGGTGACAAAGACATTGATATGGGGTTCTACAGTTGATAAATTGGACATCAAGGTTGTGAACATTCTGGTTCAGCTGGAAGCAGTGAAGGGATTAGAACTGTGGTGAAAGTTTAGAATTAACACCTAAAAAAAAACTCTAATAACATCACTGTCTGGGGCTTTAGAGATTCTGTAATATTAATTTGTCTCAATACCCTTTCAATTCTCTCTTTTGGGACCATAAAGGTCAACAGTAGGTGCATACATGCAAAGAAGATTTTACCAAGTACAAAAAGATTGAAGGTAATCTTGACTGTGTGTGAGCACATAATATTGACTTGTGGTTTGTTGCAAGGACCAGTTGAAATTTGGAGCCGATGTGTGTTTCAGTAACAGTGTTCATATTTCAGTGCTGACCTCTCCCAGCTTGGTTCTTTAATTGTTCATGGGATTTAGGTATTGCTGGCTAGACTGGTATTTATTACTTATGTCTAATTGCCATTGAGAAGGTGGGGTGTGATCCGCCCTCTAGCACTGCTACAGTCTTTGTTGTGAACCTACACCCACTAGTTCCAGTATTTATTTTTAGTATATGGCTGAGTGTCTTGCTGGGTCATTTCAAATTGCACTTAAGAGTCAACCACGTTGCTGTGGATTTGGACCCATGTATAGGCTAGACCAGATAAGGATGGCAGATTTCCTTCCCTAAAAGACATGAATGAATCAGGTGGATTTTTACATCAATCCTGTAGTTTCATAATCACTGTTACTACCACGAGTGCTTTATTCCTGACTTATTTACAGTATTGAAGTTAAATTTTCTAGATACCATGATGGAATTTGAGCTCATACCTCTGGATCTTTAGTCCAATTTCTGGATTACTAGACCAAACCCAGGCAAAAAATAAACACCAGCACTCCTCCATCTAAACAAAGACAGGAGTCATGAACAAACACAACTCTGACGTGAAGAGCAGTGTTTGTTCTGTGTAGCGATCATATAAACAATTCCTAAGCCGTTGTCAGGCAGGTATGACCGTAGCTGGGTGACAGGATGGTGCTTGCAGTGATCATGTTACTGAGGTCAAACCTGAAATGTAACCTGAGGCTTATTCAGCTGTTACCATGGAATAGATTCCTCCCCATCAGAAGACAAGTTTCACCTCATTCCATACACTCAATCAACTCCTTTCATTCCCCTTGTTCAGTTTCCCTGAGGCAGACATCAAATCAGTTCTTGATCGGACAGTTGATTTTTTTTTTGGTTGAAATCTTTCAATGCCCAAAATGTCTAACTTATGAAGTTCACTTCTTTCTTCTTGAGGATCTCAAATTCTGTGTTGTTAAAGTTTACAATGATTTTTCAGTAAAGGGAATTGCAAGAAATAATCTCGTCCTAGAAAAGGTAAAGTGTACATACAAGATGCCCACAAACATAGAGCTTTAATGATACCAAGACAAATGTAATCCGTTGTTTTCTCCCCCCGTCAATATCCCTCTGACTTTCCTGCTTATCTCAATCTTCCTTTCCAGCTTTGAGGCACATCTTATACAGAAAGTGAAGGACAGCAATACAATGTCTACAGTGTGAAATAGCTCACTCGGGGAGATCAAAGGATATCACAGGGGAGCTTGATCTTTTTCTTGTTCCCTGAATGGGCATACTCCAAAAAGGATCTCACTGGATTACAAATAAGTGGAGGGAGCATCTTGACTGGGCATTGAAGTCAAATCCACAGTCCCAACAACCAGTTGAGCTCACCTAACTCATCACAGGGTTAGAGAGGAGGTGAATTCAGGTACATTTTCAGAGAGAACACTGAGATTGAGGATAATATGAAATAATCCAAGAATAGATTTGTGCATCACCTGCACAGAATCATTTAGTACAGAAGAGGCCCTTTGGCCCATCGAGTCTGTACCAATGAAAACTACTCTAAATCAATGTCAGTTGCACTTTCCAGCACTTGCTCTATGAAGTCACTATAGTCTTACCAGACCATAGGGCTGATCTCTCATTAGAGAGAGAGAACTGGTGGTGTTTTAAGGGTCACTGCACATCAGGAGGGACTGAAAATGAAAGTCCTTGATGATAACCTCAGCCAGTGCAGGAATGGAACCCATGCTGTTGGCATCTCTCTGCATTGTAAGCCAGCTGGTCCGGCCAGCTAAGCTAAACAAACCCCTAAAGTAAAGTCACTCTTGTCCTATCAGCCCAAAGGACTGCTCCCTCATTAGAGAGACATGGCTGGTGGTGGTTCTACCTGAGGGTCACCACATCTCAGGCAAGGGAAGAGGTTTAGAAGGAGAGTACTTCATGGTAACCTGAACCGGTGCAGGAAATGAACCCATGTTGTTGGCATTACTCTGCGTTGCAAACCAGCCTACTGACCCCATATATTTGGCCCATTTTATAATATTTCAGTGCTCACTCATGTAGCTTTTAAAGGTTGAGAGGTTCCCCCCCTTAACTACCTTCCCAGGCAGTGCATTTCAGACCTTCATTACACTCTGGTTGAAAAGACTTTCTTTCAAATCCCTTCTAAACTTCCTGCTTTTCTTGTTAAAATTATGCCTCTTGTTATTGACCCTTCAACTGAGGGGAACAACTGTTTTCTATTCCACTCTATCCATGTACCTCGTATTCTTATACACCTTTATTAAGTCCCTTCTCAGCCTTCTCTGCTCCAAAGAATACAACCCAAGCTTATCCAGCCTCTCTTCATTGCAAAATTGCTGCACACCAGGCAGCATCCTGGTAAATCTCTTTTGCACCCCCTCCAATGCAACCATATCCTTCCTATAATGTGGTGACCAGAACTGGACGCAGTACTCCAGCTGTGGCTTCACCAAATTTTTGTACAGCTCAACATGACCTCCCTGTTCTTATAATCTATGCCAGAAGTGATAAAGGCACGTGTCCCATTGGCTACTTTAACTACCTTATTAACTTCTCCTGTGCCTTCAAAGATCTATGGATAAGCACCCCAAGATCCCTCTGTGCCTCTGAGCTTCCTAGTGTCCTTCCAATATTGAGTGCTCTCTTGCCTATTACTTCTTCCAAACTGCATCACCTTACACTTTTGAAGGTTAAATTCCATCCACCACTGATCTGTCCATCTGACTAATCTGTCTGTGTCCTTTTGTAACCTAAGACCTCCTTCCTCATTCTCAACCACCTGGCCAATCTTTGTATTACCCACAAACTTATCATTCCCTTCTCATTTTCTTCTGTATCTTTTACATATATCACCGACAGTAATATTACTGTAACAACCTCTGGATATCCCAAAGTTTTTCACAGCCAATGAAATACGTTTGAAATGTGGAAACTTAGGGTGCACAGCAAGATTCCACAGTCAGCAATGTGAACAGCTGATCAACTTTGTGATGTTGAATTAGGAATTGATAT